AACAGGCATCAGCTTTAGAGTTGAGAGGATGGCAAGCCTATTGGTCATTGCAAATTTAGGGAAGTATGTGGCTGCTAACACTTCTGTTTGTGAGATCCGTAAACCAATGATTAGGTCTGTGAGTAAATGCTTCTTTAGTGTTCACATAATTTGCTATTCAAAACTACATGATGAGCAGCAGAATCCATAGTACGTTCTGCGGTCTTATCATCTATCAACCCAAAACTATAAGACACAATACAGCTCATTGTTTCTGAATGTGTTTTGACATTGATTTCAACACATTTGTTTCCCATTCTTTTCTTTTATCCTTAGTCTTATTCCCTTATTCTGTCTCTGAGTGCAATGTTAACAGAGTTCCACTTGTGTATCATACTCACCTACTTTTTTATGTTTACTTTAGTGGAACATAAACATGATTGACCCCACATACTGGAATTCAGTTAATTCATGATCCACTGTCTTACCTTTCGTTTTTGTGTGCCATTGAATAGGAAAAAATAATCCAAGCAGTACACACAGCAGGAGAAACATGAACAACCTTCCAAGCAGGTGAGTCATTATGGTTTCCTAACAGGCCAAATGCTGTTAGGAGGAACAAAAAAAATGAAATCTGGATCAGAGCATTGCATCTCAAGAGTATAAGTAAAGTGATCCCCATCAACCACTTGTTAGTTCCATCAGTTGAAGATCATGCCACTTTGATCCAATACATGATCCATCTGCAAAATCAGGCCCTCTCCTTCTCCCTCCAACATGAAAATCATAAACCTATAGTCCCATCCGTTGGTATATGTAAAGCTATCACACTTCCTATAGCTAAAAGCTCTAATGTGGTGCAAAAGGGACAGACAGTCTATTTACTTTGCATAATAGTCCTCTGAAAAAGTGATAGAGAGAATATGGATTTTAATACACAAATGCTCCCTTTATCCCATCTATCCCCTATGTTGCCTCTGGACAAAGCATTATAGTTTGAAAAGAGCATCTTTGGGACTATAAAGATTATATTTTGTCAAAATTTTCATTTTAGCCAAAACATAATGATGATCCTAATCTACATTAAAAGAGAAGCATCATTTAAACTATATATTTACTTTTCCAAACTTGAAACATCATTTTGATGAAAACATTTTCAATCTTTTTTATTCTATAAAAATGTTTTGTATTAGAAAAAATATTGATTTATAAAATCATTTGGTTCTAGTATAGTTTCAGCTTGGATCAATATTTAAGTTTTCTCGGGACTTCCGGTGGCGATCGCAGCGCCGATGGCGGCTTTTCTTTGAGCCATCTGCCCCGAGGACATGTCACAGACGCAGGAACAGCGTGCAACAGCTGTTCTGCGGCTTGGAATCCCCCTCCCCGGGCAAAGGGGGGTGAGCTTCCTAGATAGGGGTAGAGTTCCCTAGCCTTCATAATTCTTCTTTTGTGAGGACTAAGGTGTGAACTCCCCCGGAGTCTTGGACTTTCTCCGCTCCTCGGGCTGCCTTTGTTCTCCGAATGAAGCCAGACGCTGATTCCACCTCTGCCATTTAAAGAGACTGTGAGTAGAACCTATAAGCAGACAGAGCTAACCAGGAGGATTGGACTTTGAATAAATTGTGACTTTAACTCAGGAAACAAATAAGTATCTTCTTCACTTTTTGTTTAAACTAGAAGAAGAAGGAACATGGCTGCGGAAGGGCGTTTTCTTTTTTGACAGAAGATATAAGAGACTTTTACTTTTCTGGATATAGAAGAAATATTGTAACGGATTTGCTTCTTTGTTGCTTATTGGGTGGGCAAGCTTTCTGCCTCTTTTTATACACTTAGTATTTGTTGCTTTTACAAGACTTTATAATACTTTAAAGAGGAAAAATAAAAATAAAAATATAAGTTAGAAGAAAGAGAAAAGAAAAATGGCTTCAAAACGTGTGGGAACTTCCGTTCCTCAGAAAGGCATAATCTCCTCCCCAGCTGTTTAAACACCACAGCAACCCAAAGCTAAGACTCCTCCGCCTTCTTCCCCAATTCCTGTATTTACACTGAAAGAATTACAGAATGCTTTGAAGGACAATGCAATGCAATTACAGGATGCTTTGAAGGACAATGTAAGACAGATTAGAATAGAGACAGAGGAGCTTTTGGAAAAAAAAAATGCAGAGATGAGAGAAGACATACTGTTTGCGCTTCAAGGCTTGGCAGTCCATGTAGAACGTATAGATGAATTTGTGGATGAAGTGGAGGAACATGTTGAAAGTTTGGAATTCAGATTGGGAAAAGTGGAGGAGAACGTGGATTTAACTCAAAATGAGGTTATTATGTCATAATATAGAGAAATGGAATATGCTTTGAGAATAAGGGGATTGAAGGAAAATGCTCAAGAAAATTTGGAGGAAGAGATTGCAGCAGATTTGGCTTTGGTTTTGTCTTGTCAACCTGAAGAAATTATGAGAGAAATGGAAAAACTTTTCAGAGTTAATTCATGGGTTGCAAGACAGAGAAATCTTCCAAGAGATGTTGTAATCTATTTTTCTAGAAGATCAATCTGTAATGAAATTATTCAAGCCTTTTATAAGCAGAGATTTCAAATCATGGCACAAGATGTTATAATTTTAAAGGAGATACCATCCAAAATACTTAGAAGAAGGAAGGATTTCACCTTTCTGGCTGAAGAGTTGAAAAAGCGACAAATTCAATTTAGATGGGATATACCTGTTGGTATAATTGTGAATTATATGGGAACACGCTACAGGCTCAACTCGGTTTCGAAAGCAAGAGACTTTTATATCTCAATTTTGAAAGCGGGTTCATCATCATCTCCACGAGGTACCAGAAAGGAAGGAATTCCTGAAGAGCAAGTGGCTGAGGGAGCTATGTCATCAAGTGCTACAAAACTACAAGACCAAGCTAAGCAGCAATTTATGGAAATTAAAGATGATCCGAAGGTACAAAGAATGACCCGTGCAGCTCATAGATGCAAGGAAAGAGAGCAGCAAAAAGTGGAAGTTGTACCTACAGCGCAGCAAGTTATTTCAGAGCCAGTGGGAGGTGCGAGGCCGAAGAGATCAGTAACAGCTGATTTACAAGGCGCGTTCCAGAGGCTCTCTGCCATTAAAGATGGCAAGGTTTCTGACATGGAATGTTAATGGCTTGAATTCTCCACAGAAAAGAAAAAAGATATTTCATTATTTGAAACAACATAAAAATGATGTCGTATGTTTACAAGAAACTCACGTTACAGCAAAGGATCAAAAATATCTGATTAATTCACGGTTGGGAATACATTTTATGGCACCTGTGCCTCAGAAAAGAGGCGGGGTAGTTATTTATGTGAGGAAAGAGTTTTTGCCCAAATTAATTGATTTTGATCCATAAGGATCAAAATTTTTATTGAAATATTATTGAATGGAAAGAAATGTCTTATTATTGGATTATATGCTCCAAATCAACAACAGAAACAGTTTTATAAATCAGTACATCGGAAATTAAATCAACTGGATTACAAATCTGTTATAATGATGGGAGACTGGAATGGAGTTTTAGATTCACGAAGAGACAAGAAAGGTTCCTGTAAAGCTTTTAGTTCTATACTGCCTAAAACCTTTTTTGATTTGAAGGATGAATTGGAATTAAAGGACATTTGGTGAGAACGAAACATGGAAGAAAGAGATTTCACCTTTTTTTCAGATAGACATCAATCTTATTCTAGAATTGATTTTTTTTAATTACTAATGATTTCTTTTCTAGGGTGAAGAATATTAAGATCTTTCCTAGGACATTGTCAGATCATAGTCCTGTATGGATGGAATTATTTGCTAAAGAGGGGAATAGAAGAACTTGGAGACTGAATGAAAACTTATTTAGATATGATACAAACTTGCAGAAATGTAGAGACCAATTGAAAGAATTTTTTTTATTGAATATGCATAAAGATACTTCGATTTCAATGGTTTGGGATGCTAGTAAAGCATATATGAGAGGCATTTTGATTTATATGAATAATGTTTATAGGCGTAAACAGATGCAAAACCGAAAAGAGTTAGAGGATGAGATTAAATTAAAAGAAAAGGCTTTTATTTCAAATCCACTGGATAATAATTTTAAAGTATCTATAACTGTGCTTAGGGAGAAATTTAATATGTTAATAGCAGATCAGACTGCAACTAGTTTAAGGTACATGAAATATAATACATTTTGTAATGCAAATAAACCTGGAAGATGGTTGGCCTACCAACTACGAAAGAAGCAGAAGTCAAGAACTATAGAGAAAATAGATTATAATGGTAAAGTGACATCTCAACAAAATTTGATTAAAAAGAGCTTTTTGGA